CTCTCTCTCTCTCTCTCTCTCTCTCTCTCTCTCTCTCTCTCTCTCTCTCTGTCCCCTGGGACCTCACCATTTTCTTCTTCTTCTTTTTTTTTTTTGAGTTGGAGTTTCACTCAGTCTCCCAGACTGGAGTGCACTGGCCGCTCCTGGCCACTGCAGCCTCGACTTGCTGGGTTCTGGCGATACTTCCACCTCAGCTTTCCAGTAGCTGGAACTACAGGCGTGTACTACTACTCCCGGCTAATTTTTTGATTTATTGCAGAGATGAGGTCTCGCTAAGTTGCCCAGGTGGGTCTCAAACCCATGGGTTCTGGCAATCCACTCACCTCGGCCTCCCAAAGCTCAGGATTATAGGGATTACAGTCTGAGCCACTGAGCCTGGCTCGACCTCACCATTTTCTAAGGCACAGCAATATTGGAACGAGTCCAGTTAACGGCCCTGCAGTGGGCTCTAAGTGTGCCATGAAAGGAAGAGTTGCACGCCTCTCGCCTTTTCAAAGCTGGAAATGATTAGGCAAGGAGGAAGGCAAGTCGAAAGCCCAGATAGGCTGGAAGCTCAGCCTCTTGCACTGGTGCGAAGAGTTCCTGAAGGAAGCTGAAGTGCTTCTTGGGGTGCCTGAATGCCGAGAAAGCAAAACAGCCTGCTGCTGTTAAGGAGGAAGTGTGTGCGGTCTGGAAGTCTTACCAGCCACAACATGCCCCTAGGCCAAAGCCTAGTCCCAAGCAAAATCTTAACTCTCTTCAGTTCTGTGAAGACCAGGAGAGGTGAGAAGCTGCTGAGGGGGAGTCAAAAGCTGGCAGAGACAGGGGCATGAGATTTAAGGTGGAAACCGTGGCCGCGACACAACATAGACGTGCAGGTGAGGCAGCAAGGGCCAATGGAGAAGCTGCGGCAAGTTCTCCACAAGGTCGGCCGAGGTCACGGGTGAGGGGACACACCGAGCAGCTGATTTCCAGTGTAGAAACAGCCTGCTGCTCGAAGAAGGCGCCATCCCGGACTGGCAGCTAGAGGGGGGATGTCGGCGCCTGGATGCAAAGCCGCGAGGGACAGCCTGGCTGTCTTGCTAGGGGCGATGCAGCTGGGGCCTTGAAGGTGAAGCCAGTGCTCACTGACCATTCCCCGAATCCTAGAGCCCTCAAGACTCAGGCAAGATCTCCTCTGCCTGTGCTCTAGAAGCGCACCCACAAAGCCCAGATGGAAACCCATCTGCTTACACCATGGTTTACTGAATATTTTAAGTCCACTGTTGGGTCCTACTGCTCAGAAACAAAGATTCTTTTCTAAATATTCCATCTCATGGATAATACACGTGGTCACCCAAGAGCTGTGATGGAGAGGCACAGGGAGATGCATGCTGTTTTCATGCCTGCTCACACAGCATTCATTCCACGGCCCTTGAATCAGGGAGTTACTTCAACGTTCAAGTCTTGTTGTTTAAGAAACACATGTTGCATTGCTGTAGCTGCCATCGAAAGTGATTCCTCTGACGTGTCTGGGCAGTCTGTTGAAACCTTCTGGAGAGGATTCACCATTCTGCATGCCCTTCAGGACAATCGTGACCCAGGGGAGGTCACAATATCCAGAGGACCAAGAGTGTGGAAGAAGTTGATTCCGGCCCTCCCAGATGACTTTCAGGGTCCAGGACTTCAGCGGAGCAAGAGACTGCAGCTGGGCTGAAGGAGCAGGAGAACTGGGGTCACAGGGGAGCCTGAGGACGGGGCGGAGCTGCGGCAACCTCGAGGCAGAGCTGGAACGATGAGGAGCTGCTGCTCGCGCCTCTTGGGCGCCATGCTGTGAGCATGGCTGAAGCAACAGGGAAGGAGGGAGAGCAATCCTTAAACTTAGCTGATGAAGCAGTGGCAGGATTTGAGAGAACTGACTCCAGTTTTCAGAAAAGTTCAGCGTAGGTAGAAAGCCATCGGACAGGATCGAATGCTGCAGAGAGATCTTTTGTGAAAGGTAGAGTCCACTGACTGATGTGGCAGGCTTCATTGTGTTATTTTGAGAAAGGTCCAGAGCCACCCCAGCCTTCGCCCCAACCATCACCCTGACCAGTCAGCAGCCAGCAGCATCGAGGCAAGACCCTCCACCAGCAAACAGATTACAACTCGCCAGAGACTCAGATGATTGTTAGCGTATTTCAGCAATGAAGTGTTTCAAATTAAGGCACGAACATGGTTTTCTAAACATAGTGCTGTTGTACACTGAGACTGCAATAAATATACATGTCACTTACATGCACTGGGAAGCCTTGGCTCTTTACCGCACCATTCACTTACACATACCATGTCTCTGCGGCTGGTCTGTGACTGGGTAAGACCCGTCTGTAGGTTGGGCTCCCTATCTCCCCCTGGCTGCCTGGCCTCTTGGGCCATTAGCCTCCCACAGAGGAGTGCTGACTCCCATGCTGTGGGGCAAGAGGGGAGGCCAGCCTCGCCCTCATGTTTACCTGGCAGATGTGCCTACCTGGGGACCATGGTTGTCGGGTGGTGTGGTGTTGGGTGGAGGACCAGGAGTCTCTTCCCTCCAGACTCTGCCAGCTTCCTCTCTGAGCCCTGCCTGCCTCTGCCTCTTGGGGTGTTCCTCCTGTCCTGAGCATCCCTGGCTTCTGCAAGGGAGCTGTTTCTTGGCATCTGTCTCTCCAGGTTTGGCCAGCAGACAGGGAGCGTTGGGGCCTGGCTGTCCCGAGTCCCTGTCACTCCCCATCTGCATTCCAGCTTTCGCTTCTGTGGCTGCCTCCCAGGAATCCTTTCTGCCTCATTTCTTTACCCTTGTTGGTTTGTGCCTTGTTTTTAACACCCCTTTATTCTGAGTGGAGTGGTATTTTGGAAGGGAGGGGTGGCAAGGGTGGGTAACCACTCTCTTTATCTAGAAGTGCAGATCCAAGTTAGTTGTCCGTCCACCTGTCCACTGGCCAGTCCTGACTCTGTCTGTGTTGAGCTTCTCAGAGTTCACCTTGACCTGTTTCTCCTGGTCCTGTGTTGGGGTATGGCTTTTCCTGTTCCTTTGGTTTTTATGAGGATCCATTCGGTTTGTTTCCTGTCTTCTAGGACTTTCCTGATGTGCTGGTCTTTCTTATTTCATCCCCTTGTTGGGTTTTGATTTTTAGACACCATTCTGCCCCCTCAGTCAAGATCTTGGGGGGTTGGAGGGTGGACGTGTGCCCCGCTCGTGCTGTGGGGAGACTCCCTGCCTGCTAACCCCTGGCACGCTTTGTCCATCTGCAGCCGACGTGGCCCAGCAGTTCCAGTATGCCGTGCGGGTGATCGGCAGCAACTTCGCTCCAACTGTGGAGAGAGACGAATTCCTGGTGGCTGAGAAGATTAAGAAGGAACGTATGTATTTTCCTTAGGTGTGGGTGTCGGATTCTTAAGCTTGTCAAGTGTAAGACTAGATATGTGTATTGGTGTGCACGTCTGCCATTCCAAGCACAGTTTGACTAGAGGGACCGTTAGCAATAAGGACGACTCCGCTCTGCCTCAGTTGGCAGCTGTGAGAACGTGGCCCTTGGAACTCACACGAATGTGTGATTCTGAGACAAGTGCGGCTCTTGTGATGCTGGGGCCCTAGAGGAGGACGCTTTCCTCTTCCCGGCTCCTGGGTGGCTCAAGGCTAGTCTGACCGTCCAAGACTGGGCCCGACTGCCCCCTTCACCTCTGGAGAGTCGAGCGGGAGGCAGCCCGCATGTGACTTGCTGGGGTCCCCTTTGGGGTGGCCTTTCCCGGTGGCCCAGGCTCCGTCTTCGCAGTTCTCTGGGCTGTGCGAGCCAGGCTCAGGGGAGCCTTCCAGTTGGACTGGAAAGGGGCCCGCCCTGTAGGTCAGCGCATTTCCCTGCAGGGCCTCGCTGCAGGCTGCCCGAGTGGAGAAACCTCAGTCTTGTGTCTAAGTCACACACCTTCCAGCAGTCATTGCCGGTCGTTCTCCACCCCGGCTGTTGCCCTGTGAACTGTTTGGCCAGTGGTGTGCGCAGGTCCTGTGTTGGAGCTGTGGGACTGTGCCTGGAGGTCCTTTGGGCGGGCGTCCTGAGGGCTTGATGGAAACGTGAGCCTGAAACCCTCTGTCTGCCGGTGCCGGTTGAGCGTGGTGTCACACAGCTAGCTGCATGTGTTATTTAAAGGCAAAGGATGAAAATGGAGTTCTTGACCTGCCAGTAGCCTGTACAGTTTATTTTCCTGTCATGTCTGTCAAACTGACGCTAAGAACGCTGTGCTGGCCTCTTGAACTGCAACCAGGTGACATTCTGCATTGTTACTGAGGAACCTGGCTGCGAGGTGCCATCCTAACACAACATTCCCTCTACAGATTGGTGTTTTGTGGCCTGGCGGTGGGCATATTATATGCGTGTGTAGCAGTAGCTACAAGGAGAGGTTGTCTAAGCTCATAGTGAAGAACTGACCCCTGCGTTGTTGCAGTGAAGAGAGTCAGGGGAGTCTTTTTTTTTTTTGTAAACCATTTACGTTTTATGTTTCCTGTGTATTCTGTGCTTTTGAGGCTAAGGCATGTCATGCGCTGACTCAGTTGGCCTGTTCTGTGTGTCCCCAGTGGGCGTCCACCGGCTCGAGTGCCACCTCCCTAAGTACCCGAAGGCCTCTCGGGGGTGGTCACTGTTGCATTTTATGAGTTCTTAGACATTTCATATTTGGTGATAGTTGTCGGTGTGTTCCATTAACTGAGGGATGGTAGCTCTGCCCTCTGGGACAATGCAGGAAGCTAATTTCCCATTTGGCCCGACTGACCTCAAATACGGAGCGCTGGTGTGCGTCATATTGAAACAAACAGTGACGCAACCTAACGGCTGCTAGCACCCTCGCTTTGATGCATTCAAGTGGAGTACATTGTAATTCAAGATGTGTGTTGCTTTGCTTAGCAAATTTTGTAGATAAAATATCACTGATTTGTAAATTTTCTGTATTCTCTTTGATCTTACTGTTTATTATTTTATTGTCCTATGACTGATGTATATATGAATTAGTATCAATCCTATTCCACAGAAAGAGTACGATTGGCTTAATTTAATGGTTGCATTTGGAGTATAATTATTTAAGTTCAAGGATAGGTATATTACCCTTGAAATGCACTAGTTTTGTTTAATGCACTTTATATGGTATGTAAATATATACTTTATATAGTATAATATAAACAACATAAATATATGTTGTATATAGTATATATTGTATTTATTTTAAAGAGAACCTTCCCTTTTTGTAAGGAAGAGTTGCGAACGTGGGAGTGACCAGGAGGCTGCGGTCCCTGGTGTGTGATCGGTGTGATCAGTTCACAGTACCCGGCTGTCTTCTCAGCTGGTAAACATGCAGCAGTGTTGGCCATAAGTCAGTCATTGATTCTGCACCAGTGCATTTGCACATCTAAGGCTAAATGTGATTGGCTGATGAGATTTGAATGACACAACACCACTTGGGGAGTATTGAGGCTGTGAGTCAGCCTGTAACAGCGGCCCTCTTTGGTAGGTGTGGTAGTCTCCTTGAGCCCAGGTGTTCGGTGTCACAGGCATGTGCAGGTGGGTTCCTTCCCTCAGGGAACTGGTGGGATCTGCAGCTCTCACCTCCTCATGTGACGGAGCAGAGATGAACTTGACATTTGCTATGCTGCTTTCAGATAAGCACCCAAAGACATTTGTTAATAAAAGCCATTTGTGGATAGAGATTAATTAATTAGCTATTTGGAGTTTTATTTTGATACGGTAAGTATGACATTTATTCCTAAAACACGAGGAGACATTGCTGTATATTCTAACAAAAACATTGAGAGCGTGTGGCTTTTGAGTCAGATGACCCATCACTGATATTATACTTGCCTTTTGCCCTTTAAGTGTAGGATTCCAAAGACGTGTTCACTGTCCATCGCTGCCTCCTGTAGCTGTTGTTAATGAGTTAAACTGATGAGCATGTGCTTTGCTGTTTACTCATAGTTGTAGACAGTCTAAATGATCCCATCATTTCTGTTACCGTACCTAGTTGCGTATAAACTCTTTGATCCCAGCCTGGTATTTTCCATACTTTGCAAATATCAGAGGCCAAACCGAGTTGACCAGATTCGTAGCGCCTAGAAGTTGCTTGTCATCTGGTGACTTTTGACGCTTCATTGCTTCAGCGTTATCTGTTATTGCGGGTGAAATAGTGTCCCCAAAATGGATTTGGGTGTGTGTCATTAACAAGCTTATTTTCTTTTCTAACTTTCCAGTCATTCGACAAAGAAGAGAAGCAGATGCTGCGTTATTTTCGGAGCTGCACAGGAAGCTTCATTCACAGGTGTGGCACAGTATTCTGAAAGCCATCTCACGGATGGGTGAGAGTCCTACTGGCAGTATAGGAACTTCTGAACTTTCTGTGTCGCGTTGAACTTTTTTGTAATTGGTGCGGCTTTCAAGTCAGATGACCTATCACTAATGTTGTCCTTGTTTATCTGGTTGATGCACTATTGTTCATTAGGTCCTACTTAGTACTAGTGTGGCGAATTACTAACCAAGAAAGTGATTTAGAGTGTTTTCTGATTGGATGTTAATACTTGAAAACAAATGGTTTTTCTGACTTTTTCTTTTTGAGTTGGAGTCTCACTCTGTCACCCAGGCTGGAGGGCAGGGGCATGCTCACAGCCACCGCAGCCTCGACCTGCTGGGCTCCGGTGATCCTTCCGCCTCAGCCTTCCAGGTTGCTGGAACTATAGGCACGTGCCACCATGCCTGTCTAATTTTTTGATTTATTGTAGAGATGAGGTCTCACCAAGTTGCCCAGGTTGATCTCGAACCTGTGGGTTCAGGCGATCCTCTCACCTTGGCCTCCCAAAGTGCTGGGATCATAGATGTGAACCACCGTAACTGGCCTCTAATTTTTTTTTTTTTCAGTTAGTCTCACCATGTTGCTCAGGCTGGTCTCAACCCCCTGGGCTCAAGTGATCTTCCCGTCTCAGTCTCCCGAGTAGCTGAGACTACAGGTGTACACCACCAAGCTCAGTCTTGATATTTTTATAAAATACTTAGCCTATATACCAGTAAATTAACTGAATCAGAGGATGTGATTTATTTTATGGGAACTGGGCTCCTCCACTTCCTGTCTCTTTTTGTGGAGAAGAAAGTGAGTCCAGAGAGCCTTAAAAATGTCGCCCACCATATTGCCCTGCCAGTGTTTCAGCAGTGAAGATACCTGTGCTGGGCCTGTGCTGCTGGCTCTTAGCCTCGTTGGTGTCGAGTCTTTTCTCTGTTCGCATATTGTGGTCTCGGGACAAGCTTACTTTCATTTGCTGATTGTTTTGACTCTTTGATGCAACTGGATTGACTTGGATTCACTGTTTTAAGCCTGCTTTTTTCTATACTTGAAGTTTTGGTCATATCTGCCGTATTTTATTTGTAATATTCACAGTGTAAGAAATGGGAACTGCCAGGCGCGGGGACCCCCTCCTGTGATTCTCACACTTTGGGAAGCTGAGGCAGGAGGATCGCTTGAGCCCAGGAGTTTGTGACCAGCCTGGGCAACAGAGTGAGACCCCATCTGTACACAAAATGAGCCTGGCATGGTGGTTCACACCTGTAGTTCCAGCTGCTTGGGAGGCTGGGACAGGAGGATCGTTTGAGCTTGAGTTGGAGGCTGCAATGAGCCATGGTTGTGCCACCGCACTCCAGCCTAGGTGACAGTGAGACCTTGTCTCAAAAAAGCGACAAGAGCCTGTGTTGTATGTTCCCTTCCAGACGGATTGTTTCAGGCTGCTGTGTCATTTGTTTTTCTCCTGTCTTTCTCCGTCTCTCAGAACAGCCTCTATGTGTTGGATGTTAGGGACATTTGCTTATTGGATTCCCTGTTTTCCGAGATGCTTAGCCAGGGTTCTGACAGGGAGAATTTCACAGTAAGAGCTGCTGTGTCTGTGACTTTGGCCGTTGGTTGAAAATGCATTTAGAAATCTGGTACATTAGAACAGCTATTTTCCAAAACTTTGCACTCTGAACGTTTATTCCTAAACGATGTTTTAAGCAGAGGCCCACATCCTAGGGCTGGTCCCAGCCGCACTTGCTTGGCTTTTTCATTGTGTGGCTGAAACTTGATGACAAGCATCAGGAAACAATCGTGCACCACTGTGGTTACGCAGGGTAGGAGCGTGTCTGCCGGGCAGTGGCCATCCTGTTGTATTACAGGCGTGAGCCGCACACAGCTGGCTGTGCAGCTATTAAAGTTTCACTTCAGAACTTGAGGTCCTTCAGCTGCAGAGGCCGAGGCCGTGGGTCTGAAGCGGACCGGGACGGTTGAGTGCCTGTGCTGCCGTGCAGTGACAGTTCTGTGTGCCCCACCACTCCTGCCCCTCTGTGCCCTGGGGGCCGTGGGGCCGGCTCGCATTCCTGACTCTTTTTCTGCTTCTGACTGGCCTTCGCTGGAACTGGCGTGAGCGCCAGTGTGAGGCTGCGGGGTGGGCGGGGTGAGGCCGGCTGTCGCCTCCCCTGCTGTCCCACACCTGTTTGGTGGGGGCTTAGTGGTGCCCCTGGATCCTGCCTCCTTGGTCTTGGGGCTGCCTTCTCGCCCCATGCGCCCCTTGCCTAGTGCTGGTGGCATTTCCGACCTCTCCTCCCTCTCCCTTGCCTCGCTGGTCCATGCACACCTCGGGACACCTTGAGCTCTGGCTGCAGACTCCTCCGGGGTGCTGCCTCCCCTTAAGCGTGTCGCTTGCTGTCTTGTGCACAGTTTCATTCATTTGGGGATTCCCCCACTCTTCAGCCCACACACACCTTCTCTCGTGTCCGATCTGAGGCTTCCTGTGCTTCTTGTTGCCAAGGTGGCGCTTTCTGTGCTGCCGGCCCTACTCCTGGGCTCACCTTTATCTGTCAGTCCCGAGGAGGCTCCCGTGGGCCTCTCCTGGTGTCCTCAGGACTGAGGTGCGTCTCCTGGCCGCCTCCCTGGTGCCCTTCTGCACCGCCTGCACACCACCTACTTCCTCGGGGCTTGGGGGTGCTGGCCCTGCGTCTGTTGCCCTCTGATGCCCAGCTCTCCCGATTGTCCTGCTCTGTCTCTCTCCTGGCCTTGGAAGTCAGGCCGAGCTGGCTGGATCTTGCCTGCAGCTTTGTGACCAGGGTTGGTGGCTTGGCCTCTCTCCTTTGTCCTCTCGTTTGTAGACTGTCACGACGCAGTTGTGGTGGGGACAGGAGGCGCTGCCTTGGAGGACTTGGGGCTTCCCTGGTCCTGAGCCGCCCTGGCCCTGGCACTGTCTGCGGGCATGGCTCGGCCCGCAGGGGCAGCAGCTGCTCCCGTTCCCCTTCAGTGGCGGTGGCTTTGGCTCCTGTGCCAGGCTGCGCCTGTGGGGCAGGGGTGGGGCAGGACAGAGCCTGTCCCCTCAGGGCGCCTCAGGCTCCCTGCTGTCTTCAGCTCCAGTCTGAGGTTCTTGGCGCCGTGGGAGGCCCCTTCTCTCCGATGTTGGTTTCTGTCAGTTTGACAGGTTTGCCGTTCCCTTCCTCCCTCTGCATGGCCCGCCTTCCCGAGACGCGCGTCCCCTCTGGGAGCGGTCGTGAGCTGTGAGGGGCCGCTTGGCTCAGTGTGGCTGCCCACCGGCTGTTCTCCACTTAGGCTGGCTCTCTTTCTTACTCCTGTGGCCCCAGCGGCAGTAGTGTTTCTGGGAAAGTCCACGTGAATCAACTTGTAAAGTTAGGCTAGTTTAGATGCCTGGTATGCGCCTACTCCTTAAAGCAACCCTAGAGAATGTTTTATTATTATAAGGGCGATTTGCATGATGTCGTGAGTACAGTGTCTGTATATTGCAGCCTGTGTGTGCAGAAGTCTGTGAATCAGGCTGGTGTGACCCCAGTTGGAAGGCGATGCACCTGCTTGGTAGCCTGCGTGAAGCCAAGGGCTGGTCGTCGTGCTGCCAGGCGAGCGGTGCGTGGTGCAAGATGCACTCTGCCCTTCAGGTCCTTTTGTTGTTGTGCTCCGTTTTGTGGCCCAAACGGGACATGGGTTAAGGAAAAACATTCATATAGCGTGTGATGGCGTTGTCTTAGAATCACTGTTTTGGGGGTGTTATAGGAACTGTTTCTGGGGGGAGAGCATCCGTTCTTAGTAGGGACTTCTGAGGCAGCTTACAGGGTCAGGGCACCCAGTGTATCGGTCACGCAGGACAGTCTCCAATCTGTGACAGAGCACCGCTTGCCACGCCTGGAGTGGACACGGTTGGCTTTGGTTTAACAGGAGAACCATGAACGGCATTCCCATTTTGGAAGCAAGTGTCATTTATGAGGGGAAAATAGGACCAGGAGGAGCATGACACAGTTCTTTCCGTGTTAATTTGTTTCTCAACAGGGAGTATTGAAGAATAAATGGTCCATACTCTACCTTCTGCTGAGCCTCAGTGAGGACCCCCGCAAACAGCCGAGCAAGGTAAGCACAGGATCACCGGCCTGGTGTCTCCACTGGGGCCGTTGTGGCAGGTTGTGATAGAAGCTGGCTTCTGCAGCTGAGAAGACAACGTGAGAAAAGTGGAAGGCTTGTCCGGTCATTGCAGGGCAAGAGATGGCTTTTTCTTTCTTTTTAAGGGCATTTTTAGTCAGTATGCAGTTTCCTGAAGATGTTTTCAACAATTTTGTTATTTAGATATAAAAATGGGCAATTAAATAGTGAACAAGCTGTCAGTTTCAGAATGTTTACTTTGTAAAGTCATCACTCTCAGCCTGGATGGGTCATTATTCTTCCTGACCTAGAATACCCTTGAGGAGTGTTTTAGGCTTCTGGTTCTCGTGACAATCATTGATGATTCTTACATCCAGCGAAGCTTCATGCTATCTCTTAGCTCTGCTGTGTTTAAAAGAGTGGGTTGGGGCCGAGCGTGGTGGCTCAAGCCTGTAACCCCAGCACTTTGGGAGGCCAAGGCAAGAGGATTGTCTGAGCTTGGGGATTCGATACCGACTTGGGCAGCTTGGTGAGACCTCGTCTCTACAATAAATCAAAAAATAAGCTGGACGTGGTAGCACGCACCTGTTGTTCCAGCTACTTGGAAGGCTGAGGTGGAAGGATTGCCTGAGCTCAGTAGGTAGAGGCTGTGGCAGCTGTGGGCATGCCACTGCATTCCAGCCTGGGCAACAGAGTGAGACTCCGACTCAAAAAAAAAAAAAAAAAAAAGAGTGGGTTGGAGGCTGTGTGTCCCCGAGAGTGGTTGCTTGAAATATCCTGCTGCAGATGCGGGAGAGCTGCAGAGTTGAAGAATGTGAGTGAAGGAGCTCTAGCTAGCACCAAGGCCTTGAGTCTGAGTAGTCGTTATGTAGTAATACAAATGTAAGTAATACACACGTCAAGATTAAGTAGCATGTAATAATGCCACACTTTTGAAAATTATTTGCCTTTCAGCTGCTTGGATTCAGAATAGTGTTTAGTTATCAGACAATGCCGTAACTGTTGTAGTTCAGAAAATCTTCTGAAACTTAATCAGTTCTGACACATTTCAGAAGTATAACAGTGAGTTGTCATTGACTAAGCGTGACATCCAAATCTAGCCACGCACTAGAAGGCACATGTGGATACCAGCAATCTGCAGAGCTGGGCACACCATCCCGTGGCTTCCTCCCCATGTTCTTAACATGTGTCTGTCTGCCCTCAGGTGTCCAGCTATGCAGCATTGTTTGCTCAGGCATTGCAGAGAGATGCCCACTCGACTCCCTACTACTATGCGCGGCCACAGACCCTCCCGCTGAGCTACCAGGACCGGGGTGCTCAGTCTGCCCAGAGCTCCGGCAGCGTGGGCAGCAGCGGCGTCAGCAGCATCAGCTTGTGTGCCCTCAGCGGCCCTGCACCAGCGCCACAGTCCCTCCTCCCAGGGTGAGGCCAGGCGGATGGGTCGGGCTGTGCTTGGTAGAATCAGGCCTCTGTGCTGACCATGTGCATGGGGTCCGTGCCTGCTGGGGTGTTCTGGGCCTGATCCCGTGTGCTCTGTCTCGTGATGGGACTCCTCTGTGCTGTGGTGGGTGCTCTTTCCGCCTGGCTGTCATTAGAGCTGACTGACACACTGGCCAGGCCCACCTGTCCTAGGTGTGCACGTCAGGAAGGACCTTGGCACCGATGTGCAGGGCCTCCTCTTTGGGGCTACCGCAAGTGTCTGGCTGGCTGTGTTCTCAGATTTGTCTCTCGGTATGTCAGGCTCTTCCTTGAGGTGGGGTTTTCTCCTCAGTGGAGCCTTTAAAAAACTAATAAGTAAAATAAAAATAAAATAAGGTTGAGCTGTGCTCAAGGGCTGAGATCCTGAAGGAGGATGACGTTTTAGCACCTGTGGATTAAGATGAGGAAATGCAGCAATGCACAGCGAAGATGTCACACATGTGGTCATGTAACAGGCTGTCAAAATGTGTCTAAACATGTCTTGAGAAGTACAGAATTTATGATTGAGGATAAAGCTGGTCTGAGTCATTAATCCCGGCATGTTGTGATTTTAAGTATGTATTTCTGTGGATAAATAAGCAAGTGGCTTGGTTTTTTGCCTCAGTTGGTTCCTGTAAATCACATTAAAGCAGGTTATCACAAAATAGATACTTTTTCCAGAAAAACAGTGACCAAGCGTTTAGTATTAAATAAATGATGTTTTCCATGTGAGCATAATAGAATTGTGAATCATTTTGTGAGTTGTGAAATTACATCACGATATTAGAAAGCAGGAGGTGTGCCACATACATGGACTGTTACGGGGTTTACTGTTCTACAAAGAACCATAATGGGTGCAGAGAAAAGGGGACGCTTCTGCACTGTTGGTGGGAGTGCGGGAGTGCAAGCTAGTTCAGTCTTTATGGAAAATAGTGTGGCGATATCTAAAGGACCTAGAAATTGATCTTCTGTATGCTCCAGCAATCCCTCCCCAGGAATATAGAAGTTAGATTACTAAAAGCCATCTTGACCTTGTCATTCTACAAAAAAGACACCTGCACATACTTGTTGATTGCTACACTATTTGCAATTGCAAAGACCTGGAGCCATCCCTTTCGCCCATTGAAAGTATACTGGATAAAAAAGATGTGGTACATATTCCCGATGAACTGTTATACAGCCGTAAAGAAGGACAAACTCATGGACTTCTCAGCAAATAGGATGGAACCAGAGATAGTCATTCTTAGTGAGCTGTCACAAAGAAAGAACCGAATACCACATGTTTTCACTGCCAAGTGGGACCTGGACATTACTCACAAAAGCACAAGGGGAGGGATCGGCAGTCATGGGGTGCTGCCAGGGGAGGGTGGGGGGAGATTGTAGTAATACAAAGGCACCTGATCCTATACCAGGAGAATGAGGACCAGTTGGAGGCACAGACTTCAGCTTCACATACGTGACTTATGCACCCCACACCTTTATAATAAAATTAAGTAAAAAAAGAAAATACAACGATGTTTTTCATGTTAAAAAAGAACCATAACCTAAAAGAGAGCCTAAAAGCAGTGCTTGACACATTTAATCTGAAACTTACATTCTTGCTCAAAGAAGAAACTGATATTCTCGTTCATACCGTAGAATTTAAAGCAATTATTGTCATATGAAAAAATCTGTGTAGAGAACCTTGGACTGAAACAGCCTTTTAGAATCATTCATTTAAATTTAGGACTACACTCACAGACGGCGCTTTAGTAGATGCTGTTGCTGACTTTTTCCTAGTGGCAGTAGAGTGAGATAAGGCTGTCTCGCTTCTTCCTCTCCTCCTTTCTTTGTGAGCGGGCTGCAAATGAACCCGCCAGTGCTGCCCTGGGACTCAGGCTGGGCTCTGGCTCTGGGAACTGGTAGAGGCAGTGGAGAGCCTCGCATCCATGTTCTGCAGGCCCAGGATGTGTAGTTTTTGTAATAGTTGTCATAGCACACATTGTTACAAATCAGCTGTCAGGTTCATAGAGTTTTCAAAAAGCAACTTGGACATAGTCTCAAGATTACTAACCTTGAATGTGCATTTGCCTTAGATCTTATGCATTTGCATATGTTAGAGGTTAATGGAAAATGACATTTTTTTTTTAAATCATGAGTTTCATGAAGGCTGGAGACACGTGCAGACAGGCCCGTGGGCAGTGTCACATGACTATTGCCCCTGTTAGTGCATGTGGGGGATGAAAGTTGTTGGATTTGGAGATAAAATTAGTGCAGAATTTTAAAGAGGTCGTAGGTGGGTGATGTCTGTTACGTGTTTATAAAGAAAAGTCAAAGAGACAAGGGTACCTGCATTAATGAACATTTGTATGCTTAATCCTGAATTGTATCCTATATCTTTATTTGTTTATTTTTATTGTTTTGAGTTGGAGTCCCGCTCTGTCACTCAGACTGGAGTGCAGTGGCCGCTCCTGGCCACCGCAGCCTTGACCTGCTGGGCTCCAGCGATCCTTCTGCTTCAGTCTTCCAAGTAGCTAGAACTACAGGCGTGTGCTACCATGCCCGGCTTTTTGATTAATTGTAAAGATGAGGTCTTGTCAAGTTGCCCAGGTGGGTCTCGAACCCGCGGGCTCAGGCAATCCACTCACCTCGGCCTCCCAAAGTGCTGGGATTACAGGCTGAGCCACTGAGCCCAGCCGTATCCTACATCTTTAAAGTAAAAAATTAAAAAGAAAAGTCAAATAGATTCTGATTTTTATGATAAGAAGTAATATGGGAAGTGACAGCAGATGGTTTTCAGCACTGCTGGGTTGGGTCTGAGCTGTGCTGGGGCACCCGAGGGGATCTGGACAGGTTCGAGGGGCATGGGACTGATTGCCATCAGGGTTGTCGGTTAGACATGTACCACAGGTCACAGTTTGAAACTTCTGAAATTCACTATAGGACTAGAAGAAGCCTTTCTGGGAGCACTTGGGTCTCTGCTGTTAGGTAATCACATGGCTTCCTCCTTTCAGACAGTCCCATCAGGCTCCAGGCGTGGGAGACTGCCTCCGACAGCAGCTGGGCTCCCGGCTTGCATGGACTCTAACTGCAAATCCGCCTTCTTCACAAGCCACTACCTCAAAAGGTGTCCCCGGTGTGGTGTCTCGCAACATGGCAAGGACCAGGAGAGATGGGGAAGCGGGTGGTGAGTGAGACTATGTCTTGGCATAGAGTGTCTCTGAGCATTCGAATTCCTCCTCCCTCTTTTTTAAGTGGGGGTCTGGACTCCCCACCTCACGCCATTTGTGAATTTCTCCTGTTCTGGGCTGAGTCCACAACTCCTGGTGACCAGTGGCCTCGGGGAGCCTGGCTTTCGCCTTGTGTCTTATTCCCAGTGCCATCTGCTTTTTGGCTGCTTGTCCCTGTGGGCTCCTTCCTCTGCATCTCTCTTTCCTGCTGCCCATCACCACCTTCCCCTGTCCAGTTTCCTTCTGTCTGTCTCCCTGGAAAGTCTCTAAGTTGGGCTGTGCCCCGGTAAAATCCCCTTCTTCCACCGAAGTCCAGGAAGGGGCTGTATCTGTCTTGACTATGGTCCTAGTACATCACAGGGACTTGTGGAAGAGTTGCTTGAGGGTGTTCAAACCCCGCTTGATTCCACAAAGAAGTCTGAGTTTCTTGAGGACACTTGTACAGCAGAGTTTGAACACGAGAGTCCTGAAGACAGAAGATTGCGTTTTACTATTGATCCTTTTCTGCTGATGCTGAAATTGTTCTAAGTATAACCTGTCCTTGAGCACTGTGGGGACATCCAGAGTCCGTAGCTGTCTGCCACAGCTTGGCATCTGCACCACTGCCTGCCCCTGCGTGCAGCTCTCGTGGGCTGTTGTTGGCGTTTGACAGCCGTGCATTCCTGGCTCAACCTGTGGCTTCAGGCTGAGTCCTGGCATGTCCTCCGCCTATTTCCTTTTGTTTGCTGACTCCTGACCCCTAACCCATGCCTTAAACCTGTATTCTCTTCAAAGCCTAGAGATGGCAAGGACTTAGACATAGACTCAGTGGATACAAGAGAAACAGAAAGGGAGAGGAAGAAAGGACAATGGGATAAGTAAGGTGATCTTACACCCAGACATACTCGCAATACATTAAACGTGTAAACATATGGGGTCAAAGACAGACAGTTCCATTCAGACTTGAGTTGTTTACGAGGGACGTGTTTTAAACGTAAGGTCACAAATAGGTTGAAAGTGGATGGATGGAAATACAGCAACCTTGTAAACACTAACCTAAGAGTGGTGACTGTATGAATTTCAGGTAGACTTCCGGGAGGAGTCTAGGGACAGAGGCCCATTTGTAAGAATGAAAGCGTCACTTCTCTAGGAAAAAGCAGTGATTCTAAGCCTGCATTCCTTGCTAACAGCTTCAGAATGCACAGAGCAAAACCGACAGAACTAGAAAGGAAGCAGATGAGCCCTTGACTAGAGTTAATACTTCAGCTTCCATCTCTTTCTTGGCTTAATAGATAGAGTAGGTGTGGACGGTTTGAATGGGTAAGAAGCTCGACCTGGTTAAGCAGCTCGACTTAACTGGTGTTTCTGCAACTTCCGTCCATGCTGTGCAGGCCATGCCCATTCGCTGCCTCTGGTGGGCCGACCTGGGTGGGTTCTGTGAGTGCTGAGCGAGGCTGTCTGGTTAGGTCTCTCCTCCCATGGGTGCCCTGGGTTCCAGGCATTGCCTCCCCTCTTATTTGGTGTAACAGCCAGATCCCGCCTTGCCTTGGTCAGAGTTCTCCAAGCTGTCGATGCGTGTTCTGTGCGGTTTACTTCTCTGTGGGGGAGGCGGGGTCCCAGGTGAGCGCCATGCTTGCTGCCTGGAAGGTCCAGCTTTCCAGACTCCATGGATGAGTGACCCATCCCTTCGTGGTGTGTTTGGAAGGAACTTCCCATCGAGTGCACGGGAAGTTCCCACACCCAGCCTTGGCTTTCAGAAAGGCCGTCAGAGGAGGCATTGCGTGGTCTCCACCCCATTTCAGAACGTCCTTGGTTCTTTCTAACCTCAGGCTCTTCTTCATCTTGAGCTCGTTTACTGAATTTGTGAATTTGTCATGGTGGCGGATGCATACTCTAGAGCTAATTGTGGGTAAGGTCCATTTCGGTTTGCAGCCTGCTGTCTAGTCACCACTCCCTTTTGAACATTGTTTTGCAGGCACCACAGAAGTTACCGAGGCAGCTCTGGTGAGGGACATTCTGTACGTCTTCCAGGGTATAGATGGCAAAAACATCAAAATGAACAACACGGAGAATTGCTACAAAGTCGAAGAGAAGGTACGGTAACCAAAAGCTAGCTTGCAGTATTCAAAAAGAATGTCGCAAAGCACAGACGATGAGCCATGAGTTTGTAAGGCGGCTGCAGGTTTTGCAGAGCTGAGCGTGCCAGTCAGGTCGCCCTGGACTATGCCGGCTTATGTTTCCCTGTGTGGTGCCCTGTTGCTGGGGCCGCTTTGTGGGCCGTGCACACCTCCTTTTCCTGGGCCCAACTGCTCTGCATCCTGCTTGTGAGGCCTGAGACACCGGAGGACAGCCTCGCCTGGCGTCTTGGCCCTCAATGCTGGAGTCTTGCTTTTGGTTTCTTCCACACCTGCCTTGCCCACGCCCCTTTCCCATGGCATTGTGTCTCACCGGCCACTGACCTTTCACAGGGGCCTGAGGCCACACACCGTGCTGTGCTGAGGATGCTCCAGGGTGCGGCGACTGAGCTTGCTACGTCCTTCAAGGACTTTTCCATCACGGCGCTTGCCCTCTGTGCTTCCTTCCCTTGATGATGGCATGTCTGTTACTTTTGACTTTTGTGTGTTGAAGCCTGAGAATTGTAAGATTAGAAGTACAGTTGGTTGCGAAAAACAGTCATTAAAGTCCTGGTGTTGCTTTTTAACGTTTAACTCCTGATATGTCAACTTTTTAGGCAAATCTCAGTAAGTCTTTGAGAGACACGGCAGTCCGACTTGCTGAGCTGGGGTGGCTGCACAATAAAATCAGGAAATACACCGACCAGAGAAGTGTGGACCGTTCCTTTGGACTTGTGGGCCAGGTATGTTATGACTAGAGCATTTCAGGTGCTGCTCACTTGGGGAAATGCTTAGTCTACCCAAAACTGTGCTATGAAATAAATCTTAGTAGGCTTCTTTTCAAATGAAGCAGCTTTGATAGTCAGCGCCTGTTTCTGTTAGGGGCCACTCGAGGAAGTAGGAACCGTGGCAGGTGTTGACAAAGACTATTGGGCACGACAGGGTGGCTCTGTGCCTATTGGATGGCCACAGCGGCCAGAGCATGCCCGTGAAGCCTGAGGTGGCTCGGGGGAATTGTCAGACCCCAGAGACTCTGGGGAGGGGCCTGGCCAGCTGCTGCTGCTGGGGGTGGGGAGGAGGGCATGCCGGACCAGGGGCCAGGGCTGCCAGCCAGGGCCCCCACTGCTGCAGTGCTCCAGACAGCACAGGGAGACAGGGTTTGGGAATGCCCCCGATGCTGGAGACGGGACGCTGGTGCTGCTACCTGAGCGCTGCGGGGGCCCTGCTGGTGGCACAGTGAGCAGTCAGGAGGGAGGTGGTCCTCCTTGTCCTATCTGCTGGGCCTGAGGGGAGCAGCTGGCAAAGGACGGCGTTTCCCCTGTCCAGCCCTTCTTTGTGGTTAGTCGGCTTGTGGTTTTGTCTACAAGTTGGTTACTGGTTAATTGCTGATGAAATCTCCAAAAAATTGCTGAGAGAGTCACACAGCATCACTGGCTGTGAGCACAGCAGCGCGCGGGTCTCTGGCTGGTTTGTGGGGGCGTGGGGGAGCCGCCTGGCTGGTGTGTAGGAGCATGGCAGGCAGCATGGCTGGTTTGTGGGAGCGTGGCATGGCAGCGTGGCCGGAGAGTCAGAGCACGCTCGGAGCGTGGAAGGGAGACAGCTCAGGGGTGCAGCTTAGTCCACGCTTCGGCAGCTCTGTTGTCTTCTGTGAGCCTTCGTTTCTTCATGCTGGGAATGGCGGTGATGAGCACCTCCAGGAGTGTGTGGTGGAGACGGGGTACGCGTGGAGTCTGGCACTATTCCTGCCAGTTCTGTGTGGGTCTCGTGTGGGGTTGGGTGGCCGCCACGCTCCCCGTGCGCTCTGAGGCACACGGTGCCCAGTGGGCCTGATCCATGGCGTCAGCACGGGCAGAGCTCTCCAGGCAGGTGAGGCCAACGGCCATCCCCCCAGCAGGCTGTGATTTCTGGGAGTCCCTGTCCTCTTCCCCAAAGTGACCGTTTGTCGCATCTGTGTCGTCCCCCTGTGCACGCAGCTCTGCCGATGTGCTGCGTCAGGTGGCTAGGTGTGAGGCAGACCAGACCCAGAAGAGCTCAAGACGGCTGAACTGTCACGTGAGCCTCACTCCAGCCACCATTGAGTAGTTCACAGTGCTGGCTTCCAAGCCTCTTGTGCCAGCACCTTCTTGATTCTCACAGCAGCCCTCTAAACTTAGCAGGGCAAGTGCCAGTTGCCCCCAGTGTGCAGATGTGAAAATCGAATCCCGGAAGTGTGACTGATCTGCCCGAGCTGCCCTGACTGGGAGATGGCAGGAACCGGCGCAGAGAGCGGTGGGCCACTCCGTTCCTGAAGCTTTTGCATGCTCCCTTTGCTCCCAGCTCTTCAGAGTCGTTGCTGTGAACCATCCGGTCACGGAGGAAGTGATGGTCGGGCTGATCAGAAGAACACGGTGCGCTCACGCTGAGCTGGCTGGATGTCCCTGGTTCATGCCTGCTGACCTGGCATGATTGTTGCCAGGGCCTGCGTTTAGCCTCGAAGTGTCCCGGCGCTAGACTCGCCCCCTGGAGCACAGTCTGTTTTTGAAGGAAGGTTCTGCTTCCTAAGCGTGACGTTTATGCAAGCTTTCCGTGAACTGAGGGGCGGAGCCTTCCCTCCCAGCCTTTTGAGTGTGCACTCACCATGAGCCCTTCATTTAGGGTGTAGACTACTCAGAAGGTGACTTGCATACTCGTGTGTGTGTGTGTGTGTGTGTGTGTGTGTGTGTGTGTGTGTGTGCGTGTGTGCGTGTGTGCGCTCGCTCACACGTGTATGCATGTGTATTTTCTTTTTTGAGTTGGGGTCTCACTCCATCACCCAGGCTGGAGTGCAATGGCACACTCCTGGCCACCACAGCCTCAATCTGCTGGGCTCAGGCGATCCTTCCACCTCAGTGTTCCGAGTAGCTGGAACTACAGTCACACACCACCACACCTGGCTAATGTTTTGATTTATTGTAGAGATGGGGTCCCACCAAGTTGCCCGGGCTGATCTTGAACCCTTGGACTCAGGCAATCCTCTCCCCTTGGCCTCCCAAAGTGCTGGGATGACAGGTGTGAGCCACTGTGCCCGGCCCTCTTGTGTATATTTGTTTTCTATATGAGGGATGATGATTTGATTATTTTAGCAGGTTTTTGTTTTTTTAAAATTTTATGTGTTTGTGTGTGTCTGCCTGCCCGGAGTGCTGGGCTAGAGTTTAGTAGAAGAGGGTGCTGTGCCTCAGCAGACCCACGTGGCTTTTTCTGTAACTATCCCTGGCCTGAAATGTAATACACACCTTTGTGCCCACCAGTGCCAGGCATTTTCCTCCCGTGATCCAAGAGGATGAGCCAGTGAGGCCAGGGGTATTGGGTAAGCAACCTTCAAAAACAGACTGTGCTCCAGGGGGCGAGGCTAGCACCGGGACACTTCGAGGCTAAACGCAGGCCCTGGCAACAATCATGCCAGGTCAGCAGGCATGAACCAGGGACATCCAGCCAGCTCAGTGTGAGCGCACCGTGGGGTGGCCCCTGCTGGTACCTCCGTTGGGAGTCCAGACCCAGGGGTCTGTCTGATTCTGGATCTGGGACATTCTTTCTTGCTAGTCTCACTTTGGGCGCGTTCCTTTTTGTCCAAACGATTTTATTTCCTGTTCCCTTTTACGCCTAAAAGGGTGAAAATGTTGTTAGTCCCAGTCCACAAAACCTGAAATGCCGTGCAATAAGCCTGTACATCTTTGTGCATCGCTTTAAGGCATGCAGAAAAGCATGGAGCCTGCATATTTATTTGAAGAGGGCAGGTTTGCTTGTTTTTCCTGGTGGCTTCTTCCCCCGTTGACACTGTGTGGTGACAGATGACAGAGCAGGAGCCATCCCTTGGCAGGCTGCGTCGACTGTTGGCTCTTGAGAGGCCAGGCTCCTGAGAGGCCTGGTTTATGTCGAGTTTGCACCCAAAGGCTCTTGTCGCAGGACGACATGCAGATCCATGAAGGTGCCTCTGTAGCCTCCGTGCCTATGTGTGTGTTTTGACTTGAGCCCTTCAGTGTTTGAGATTGGAGAGGTACAAAGACGTTTTTGCTAACAGGGATGGGAAAAGCAGGCAGTGCAGACAAAAAATTAGGGAGATTGGAATTGAGCCGCTAGTTTTCAGACTTTGTTAAAGACAAGGATGAATATTGTATTTTAACTCAAACCGCGGAGAGCACTTCACGAGAAAGACTCCTTCTCCAAAGTGACTGCCCTGGAGCTTCCTGAAAACCCTTCTGCCTGTTTCTCATTGCTGTTGTGCAGAGCTCTTGCTTTTTGTGCTCAGGAGCTTCGCTTCTCTGATGCTCTTCAGATACGGACTGTGGTGGGGAAGGCAGCCAGGAGCCTGCAGACGAGCCAGGGCTTCCCTGCGCTGAGCCCCGCCTGACTGCCTAACAGCGCTGGGCCTTTGCTCTCAGGGTGAGTCGAGGGCAGCGGCGCAGCTGCTTTCATCACACTTCTCTTTCCAGAGCTTTTGTGCCGCCTTGCACCAGGAGCTCCAAGAATACTACCGCCTACTCTCCGTTTTGCATTCCCAGGTACGTGTTTGTTTTCATTTTACTTTCTTCATGATTTGAAGGGTTCGAAGACGGAAGCTATACAGAATAGTTGGAGTTACTTCATACGTGACGTTTAAAAGACAGCAGTCTGTGTGTGAGGGCCAAGCAAGTGTCAGAGTATCCTAGAGCCGGCCAGCTGCTAACTTGCCGGGTTCTGTGTGCCACTTAAAGAACACTTGTTGCCGGGCTCGGTGGCTCAGCCTGTAATCCCGTGCCTTTGGGAGGCCGAGGTGAGTGGATTGCCTGAGCCCGCGGGTTCGAGACCCGCCCGGGCAACTTGGTGAGACCTCATCTCTATAATAAATCAAAAATTAGCCAGGCATGGTGGCACGCGCCTGTAGTTCCAGCTACTTGGAAGGCTGAGGCGGAAGGATCGCCGGCGCCTAGCAGGCAAGGCTGCGGTGGCCGGGAGTGGCCACTGCACTCCAGTCTGGGCGACAGAGTGAGACTCCAACTCAAAAAAATAAAAAAATAAAATAAAAAAAAGAACACTTGTCACTCTGAAATACAGTTGTCTTCCTAAAAGGGCCGTTGGCCTCACTTTTATGAGAGTAACTGCTGCCTCGGGTTCACCTGGGGGATTGGGAGGGGCGATGTGTTCTGTGGTTTGTGCTGAACCTTCTTCCTCGTCGTCTTCAGCTGCAGCTGGAGGACGACCAGGGTGTGAACGTGGGACTGGAGAGCAGCCTCACGCTGCGGCGCCTCCTGGTGTGGACCTACGACCCCAGGATGAGGCTGAAGACGCTCGCGGCCCTGGTGGATCACTGTCAAGGTCACGAGACGCTGCCTTCTGTGTGTGCCTCTGAGGCTGCTGGCAGCGCTTGCGGGTGGGGAGGGCTCTCTAGGTGTGCGTGTGTTCCCTGCCCTTCCGGATCCTCACGGCCAGGAGTGTGTTGACTGGATGTGAATGAACAGATGGAGCTCAGACTCCGGTGTTCACCTTATAGGATGTGGCATGTCGTGACATGCAGGTGGGAAGGAGGAGGCATCTCGTGTTTGAAGCGCACTGTGTGGTCAGTGGCGATGGCTGCCGGCCTGCGGGCAGCCCATCCTCATGGCCCGTGCGTGCCGCACCCTCCTGGGGTCCAGGGCCGTGCCTGTGTGTGTGTCCGTGTCTGCACCACGGACAGTGGCAGAGGCTCTCCTGGGCCCTCGCCTCCACCTTTCCAGGTGCTCCCTGGATATCCTCCTCCCTGATTGTGCCTCCTTGGTCCACGGCTCTTCGTCTTTTCCCTCTTCGCGCCGTCACACCGGGGTCCTGGCAGTTGCTGCCGTGGGGTTGGTGGGACCACATGAGGGGCAAGGCCGGCTGCCCCTTGCTGGAACCCAGGCATGCTGCCATCTCTGCTCTGTGCTCCCCGGGATGGGAAGGGCAGGAACCTCACCTTGCTGTCAGTGCCGTCCTCACTCTTGGCTCATCCCCGCAAGCACAGTAAATAGTGCCTGTGATCCCCCCTCCGTATCTGGACTCCCACCAGAACCCACCTTTATCTCCATCCCCGCCACGGAGTCCTCTCCCTCCCCCGCTGTGCTTCCTGCGCTCAGGGCGCCTGTGCTGTGGGGCTCTTGCCGGAGCCGCCACCTGCTCCCTGTGTGGTCTCACCACCCTGTCTCGTGCACACGTGCCGGGGCGGACTTCCGCCAGGTCGTGCCGGCCCTGCCTTGGGCTCTTGGTGAGCTGGTGAGATCCTGGATTCCCAGTGCAGCGTGAGGCTCTCTGGGAGTGCTCCAGTGTCTGGACCCACTCCTAGTCCCTCATCCCAAGCTCTTCTGCCAAGACGCAGGGGCTGCTGTCCACCCGGGGCAGTTTTCAAACTGTTGCAACCAGTTCATGGGTTACAAGACCGGTGAGTGACCTGAGATTCGTGTGTTTCAAGGGGGCACCCAAAGAAACCACACCACAATCTGTTTCTAAAAACTGTGCATCTGTTCCACATGTTTAAACTCCAATCACCTTCAAAGGACTCTGCTTTTGCTGCAGTACTCCTACTGAGATGCTTTTCCACTGCTCACAACAGGTTTTGCACTCCTCAGTTTTCATGCCTTTCAGTACTTCTGCCTTTTTTTGTTTTGCCTCCTCCACATTGGCAGGATGTTTCCCTCCGAGGACTTTTTTCGTCTGGGGAGATTTAGACAAAGTTGCTTGGGGCAAAGTCGGGTGAGAATAGGGAGAAGAGGCGTTGGGGTCATGCCGATTTTGGCTCAAAACTGCCGAACGCTCAGTGTAGTGGGCAGGCGTGCTCGTAATCCACCTGTCATGAAAGGGGCAAATGCACTGAAAGACTCTCCAACAGAAATTCGCTGAAGCCGAACCCAGCCTCTCCCGACAGCGCTAGCTGGCACACGAATGCCCATGAGCCCCAGAATACTCCCCTGGGGCGCCAGCCTGCACAACAAGGGCCTGCCCTCCAAAAGGTTACTCTGGGTTTTTTGGGTCCCCCTCCCACACCCAGATGGTGCAAGTGTTGACGCACAGAGTTTTTGTTTTTGACACACGTGTGTCCCGAGTTGTAGTCTAAATCCTGGCATGTCTTCGAGGAACGAAAGTCTCCAGAACTGAGGTCTGGAGCAGTCGCTGTTGGCTGTCCCTTGCTGCTGTGCCCTCTCTTGGCTGTCATGAGCACAGGGGCTCCCCTGGAGCCAGGGCGTCTCGACTCCGTCTCGCTGCTTCTTCCCAGAGGGCGTCAGCTACGAGGAAACACACGCACCGCATCTCCACTGCTGGCACCTTCGGCTGGTGGGAAAGGCTGGGTTTGTGCCGTGGGTGTAAATTGGGGTGTTTCTCTGTGTCTCCCCAGGGAGGAAGGGAGGTGAGCTGGCGTCGGCCGTCCACGCCTACACAAAGACCGGAGACCCGTGCATGCGGTCCCTGGTGCAGCACATCCTCAGCCTGGTGTCCCATCCTGTCCTGAGCTTCCTGTACCGCTGGATCTATGATGGGGAGCTGGAGGACACGTACCACGAGGTGAGGGGGCATTAGGTCCTGGATGTGGTCAGAAGCGCCCGGGTGCCAGGCCTCTCTCCCTGGGCTCTCCTCCAGAGGGGCGCGACATGCCTCCTGGAAGGCCTGTGGCTGGCGCAGTACCCTGAAGGTCTGATCTCTCCCTGAACTGCAGACGAGTGCATGGGTTCTCTGGTTAGTGGAGGGTTCACCTCCTGACTGGAGCAGTGGGAAGACGCCGCAGTGTAGTGCCCCTTGTCCAAGGCTGCTGGCACGTTGGCGACATGGCAAGTCTTCGGCATCCTGAGTCCAGCGTTGTTGTCTTGCTGGGGCAGGGTCATGGTTACGTTATCAGCTCACTTTTTATAGACCGTTGCGGTAGTCCAGCTCCAAAGATGGAGATGGCGTTGGCAATTGTGAGAATGAGAGAAAGAGGGGGAGAGAGAGAGAGAGAGAGAGAGAGAGAGAGA